CGCCGCCCCCCATGGCTGCGGGGCTGCGAAATGCCCGGCCCAGCTGCCTCCCTGCCTGCATCCCAAACCCCTTTATAGAGCTGTAACCGGAGCCGCGGCGGCTGGCAGCTGCGGCTTGAGTGTCCCGATGTCAGCGCGCCCGGGCCAGGGGAGGTGACGAGGTCTGCCTGACCTGGGCAGCGCCGAAGGAACGCGGGGATGAGCACGGCTGTGCATGGCGCTGGGGATGCAGGGATGATTTACACAGCCACTGTCCAAGAGGCTCTCCCGACCCCGTTCCTTGCTCAGTGCCGGCCCTGGGGACGGGCACGGCCTGACACTGTCCCGCTGCCACCGAGCCAGTGCTGCCACCTGCGCTGGCTGCGGAATGCCTGCAGGGCTCATCCCCGTCACCATCCCCTCCTGCATTGTGAGCGTCCTGCAGGGCTCATCCCTGGGAATGCCCGCAGGGCTCATCCCTGTCACCATCCCCTCCTGCATTGTGAGCGTCTGCTGCTCCTTCTAAGCTGTTTTTCCTCCTGGCTGTGCTGGGCTTTCCTCGGGTTTGGGACCTAAGACTGTCACTGCAGCAGGAACTCTTGAATCAGCCGTTCTTGTAAGTGCAGAAGGGTTTTCCTGGAAGAAATGTAGATGTTAAAATTCACTTATTCCTGTGGGAGGGTGTGTTCTGTGCACGGTGCCTCCCTAGACACCATGGGAGGCAATGCCATATGCATGGTGCTCTGAGGCTGGGCAGGGTCCTGTCTGACCCTTCCCAAGGAGTTCCTGATGGTGCAAGACTGTAATGGGGGTGCTCAGACTGCCTGGCATTTGCACAGGAACACATCCCCTGAGACACCACTCTGACCAGGTGAACGTGTCACTGCATACATGGAAGATAGGAGTGGCATCTGGCTGCGTCCGGATCATGTGGTGCCTCTCTGGCCCCTGCTCAAGCACAAGGGGTGAGATCTGCTTTGACAATCCTTCTCATCGATCCTGGGCCTGAAGACAAGGAAACCCACTCTCCTCTTCCTCGGGGAGCAGGATCCCATGTTCAAATCGCACTTTGCTTTTAATGAAAAAATCATAGGACTGTGTTCAACTCCCATCCTGGGGAGTTGCTGCAAAAGCACTTGGGGTCTTGACACTGCTCTCCCTTGCTTGCTGCCCCGCACCCAGGACTTGGCACTCCCCTGTGGGCTCCATGCAACACCCACAGGGGCAGCACCAGCACAAAGCAAGGATGGACAAGTGCCCTGCAGCCCACCCACTAGCTTTGCAGTCATCCTCGAGCAGGTCAGCCTCATCTTGCATAATCCATGTGGTCCTTCAGTATTTCCTTTCTCTCCTCATCTGTGAAGCTTTGGCCCATGGAGGCGGTGATGGAGTCTGGGATGGGATGGGATGGGGCTGTCCCTCTTGGGCACCCAGTTTGCCAGTGGGAAAGGCTCCTTGTTGGTGGGTGATGTTTCCCTCCCCAGCCTCCTGTCCTGTGGGACCTTGAACAGGCATGGGATATGCAGAGCATGGTGGCATGAGCCCAGCTGAGCTGGACATCCCTGCAGGAAGGGCAGGTATAGTCCAAGGTCATCCAGAGGACACTAGAGGAGCTCTGAGTGTACAAGAGGGAGGCTGGGAAAGGAGAAGCTCCCGAAAAGCTCCAGTTGACAGCTGGAGGTGGGCTGGTTCTTCTGGTTCATTGAGCGTGTCACCTGCAGCGGTGACACCCAGGCCTCGTTCATGCTGGGTGGCAGCAGCCAGTGAGGTTGCCTTTTCTGCTCACAGCCAAGGTGGTTATGAGAAAAATGCGTATTTTATGATTGGCTTTTTGCAAATATGGAAATGAATATTATATGTGTTGTGTTAGAAAGTAATGCTGTATTAATTCTCTTAAGTAGTGTGTTAAATATAGTTTTAAGTTATAACAAAATGTTAAAATAGAAACTATGCTATGTAGGATACTTTTTTTAAAGAAAGGACTTGCAGCAAAATAGCAGCCACAGGACACCTAAATTTTTCAGAGAAAAAGAATTTATGGCCCTCTCATCAGAAGAAACGAACTTCTTCCTGCCTTGAAGGTGCTGCTAGGATTCAGAGGAAGAAGTTGACGATGACCAGACAGAATCCTGTATTTGAATGGAATTTATGCATCATGTGTGAAGTATATGACTATGCAACAGGCTATTGTTTTAAGGGTTTATCCTTTGTTACCAGGTGTCCTTTTTTGGGCTTGTGCCGCCCAGAAAAAGGTACCCAGACATCCGTAACTCTTTGTCTCTATTGTCTCATATTGTCCTAATTCAAACTGTCCAAATCATTATTACTCTAATCGTATTACTATTTTTATAATCATTTTATTACTATTAAAGTTTTAAAATTTTAAAAACAAGTGACTGGCGTTTTTCACAGTTACATTGGAGCTGAGGTCAGTCACTGCCTGGTCAGGGTGCCGTGCGGTGGAGGGGACTCAGCCCGGGTGCCACAGCACAGCCTGGGTGGGGCAGGGTGGCAGGACTGAGTGACCCTCCGAGCCGTGTAGGGCAAGCTGGACGAGCTGCAGGCTCCTCATCCACACAAAGGGTTATACTGACACATTTGATGAGCTCATCTATAGGATGGGGAGGCAAAACACACCTGGGAGGGTGCCCTGGTTCCAAACCAGATCCAGGAAGGGCTGAGAACATAACTAAGGAACTCTTCCATTCTCTCAGGATGGGTGTCTGTGGCTGGCAAGGCTACAGCTGGAACAGGGCCATGGAGGGAGGCAGAAGAGCAGAGAGCAATGTGTAGTCCTCACCAGAGGACCATGTAGAAGTGGTGGAGGAGATGGGAGCTATGTGTCTCCACTCATCAGTGAAGTTATGGCTTGAAAATCAGATTTACTCCTTTGTCATTGATGCAGAGTGGAGGGTACCAGGTTCTGGTACATCCAAACCCACCAACCATGCAGTCCCTTAAAGAACCTGGGAATTCCCTGCATCCTTCTGCTTAGGTGGGTCAACAGCTGCCCTGGGAGATGTTGGGCACCAAGAATTTTAGCGCTCAGACGTTTGTAAACGGCCGACAGGAGCAGTCACCGCAGAAACGGTTGCGCAGGACAGTTTCCCACTGTGGTTAACACATGTCGGTGCTGGGGGACCCCTGCAGTTGAGGCTCCTTCTCCATTCTAACAGTGACTTCAGGGCTTGAAGGGATTTGATCCTTATGCAAGCATCACGCCATGCCAAGATCGTAATAAGTTTGTTTTTAGGTTTTTTTTTTAACTGATACACTATGTGTGTGAACAGCTGTGCCACACAGCCATGCCCATGTGATTTGGCCGCCTCCACCGGGTCCCCCTGCCCCTGGGGGCACCCACAATGTGTGAATGACCCTGATCAAGGCTTGCCATGCAGCAGAAACAGCAGGTTTTCCTGCAGTGGGGCTGAAGGGGAAGCCCTGCTCACATTTGCCTTGCTGATGAGGCCGTGCTAGAAGGAGACGAATGGTGCTGGGTTTGCAGATCAGCACTGTGAGCAGGTTTGCAGCTGAACAAAACTCAGTGCTGAGGGGTGCCAAATGTCCACGGAGAAACATCCCCATCCTTAGCCACTCCCAGGCACCCCCAGGTCCAATCAGCTGTCACCCCAAACCCGAGGTGTGCCAGGGATGTGTTGCAGCCAGGCTGGGTGCCCTGATGTAGGGACTGGCCTTGGAAATAGCTGTGCCAGCTCATGCCCGCTGTGTTCCTCACAGCACTGTGGCTGCCTGCTGGGGTTTGCAGGATGCTCCAGCTGTGGTCAGCAGTGCTGCCTTGCTGAAGCACTCTGGCAGTGCTGCACAGCCTCGGGAGAGCCCTGCCTTGGGCAAATGCTGGCATGAAGGCAATAATGAGGACAGGAGGATGCATGCAGTGAGGCTGGAGGCTTAGCAGGCACCTCACTGCTGAGCTGGTCACGCTTTGGGTGAGAGCAGAGTCCTGTGGTGCCTCTGCCTCCCACTTTCCCGCTTCTCAGACGCCTCTAAAAGCAGGGAAAAAGCTGTGCAGATACACAAATGCATAGCAGAGGGCTGGTGTAAAGACATTCTGGTCAGAAATGCTGTAAGGGAACGGAAAAAGCTGGAGAAATGCCAGCAAGGCATGGAGAAGGGAACCGCAGCACTGCTCTAGAAGCGGAAGATGAGCCCCAGGGAGAGAGAGGTGAGAAGCAAACCACATGTGAGTTTGCAACAAGGCAGCTGAAAACAGAGAGCAGCCAAACTTGCTAAAGCCACAGATGCTGTTAGCAAAGCTGTCCCACCCACAGCACTTGTGGCAGAAAAGCCAGGGGAGCAGAGGGGGTGGCAGCCCCAGCAGCCCAGTCCTACTTTTAAATTCATCAAATCCCAGGCAATATGCCAGCCCAGGGCATGCAGCACTGTCTCAAGTTATTTTGAGAATCAAAGACACAAGGACTTAGTTTCATATTCAGACCAAGAGCTGATTTCCTGGAAATCATTTTCTTTGGCTCAGAGGGGTGCCTAAGGCAGCACAGGCGCTTCCTGTTTTGGTCAGTCACACAGTCCATTGGGCACAGATTTGAGAGGCTGTATTTGCTGGCCATTAGCTTTTCAGTAAATCACATTTCCCAGAAAGAGTTTTAGGCTGGGTGTACTGCAGCTACTGGGCCTGTGTGGCTGGTACAGAGCAGTCCTTGGCACTTTTCAGGAGGGTGGATGCAGCCAAGACCCCTCACCTGCCTGCTTAGGGGCTGTGTCAGAGCCAGAGGCCTCCCAGCCAGGTTTTTGGGATGCAGAAGAGCTGCCCAGCTTACCCTCCCATCACACTCACCAGGCTTTCAGCAGGAAAGAGTGAGTGCTGGTCACAGTTAGTGTCAGAGGATTACTTTGGAGATGCACCATCCTGTTTGGGCTGGAAAAGGGGCTTTCTTGGGGCCAGTCTCTTCCCAGGATAAGAGAATGAGAGTTTCATCCCACATCCACCTTCCACTGTGTTTTAGCCCAGCTTTTCCAGGACATATTCACAGACTGCACAAGGCTGTACTTAAACATCTTTAATTTTATTTCTTGTTTTTTTGGGATATCATCCTCCACAGCTGGAAACATCACGGCATGCTAGTACACACTGATCCTGCTGAGGAGGCTCCAGTCTCCCAGGTGTGGCCAGGATGAGATGCTGCTCCCTCTTTCAGCCCGTTCGAGTGAAGGTGTTGTGCCCAGTCCTGTGGGGAAGCAGACTCTCATTGGTGCCCAGCCAGCAGCAGGGCAGGGATCCCAGGGATCCCACATGGACTGGGGGTTCCTTGGCTCACCTGGTGGCTTTCCAGTCATCCGGCTCCGAGTCGACTTTCTCCCGCAGCAGCCAGGAGGTGTGCAGGACCTCCTTCCCATCGTCCCCGTTGAAGCACTGGCCCACAAAGACAGCTGTGGAGTCTAAAGCAGTGGTGGCTGTCAGCATCCCAACAGGACCCCAGCTGGTTTTGGAGCTTCACAGGCATCAGTGAGTTTAGTGCTCATGGAGCCTGAGTGGATCCCGATATTTGCAGGGAAATGGTGTGTGGCAGAGGTGTTGTCAAAGCAACCCTTGGTGCTGCCTCACCCAGACCTTGTTTTGGGAGGTGTACTGCTGTCTGCAGACACCACCCACAGTGGGGAGAGGTCAGGGAAGGAGAGACAGGGGACAGCAGAGAGAACAGAGGAATTGGGATGAGCACTGGGAACTGCCTGTCTGTGCCCACCCCCATCCTTGCTCCTGGTGTGCATCTCCATCCATCCCTCCATCCACCCAACCACTCCATCCAACAACATCCATCACGCAACCACAGACCTGAGAACTTCTTCCAGTTGACAGTGAAGCCAAAGGTGCACTGTCCATCCTCATCCAGGTGCTGGGAGCCAGTCAGTGGGGATGGCTGGATGGGTTTCTCGGCACTTGACACGGCGGTGTGGTACTCGCCAGAGAAGGTTCCATCCTTGCCAACCTTGAACACTTGCATCTTGGAGCCCAGGTCATTCTCCCACCAGCCAGTCAGGTTGCACGGCTGGGGACAAGCAGACGTGTCCCTGGGGGCTGCCTGTACACACCCATACAGGCTGAGCCCCTGCCCACACCCCCTGATGCCCACGGGTGCTGGCACCCACCTTGATATGCCTTCTGCTCTTCCCCATGGTCGCCTTTTCCTCCTTGCTGGCCTTTTTGTCCCCAGGGTGCTCAATTCCCTGGCAGAGGATCTTGGAAAAGAACACAAGCACAGGTCAGGCTGTGGATGGTGGCACAGCAGAGTGTTTCTGGAGTCCTGAGAGTGCTCGAGCATTCGTTTTTAAAATACTTGATTTGTAAAGTTGCTGCTATCTCAGCTACATCAAGAGGGCCAAAAGCTGGGGTAAGCCAAGCAAAGGGGAGAGGTGAAGAAGAAAAGTAAAAGGTGGAAGCCTTGGGCAGGCAGGAACATGGGTGGGACCCCTGCTGTAGCCCTGGCAGGTGAGCTGTGTGAGTCCAGGCACGTCTGCCCGTGTTTGTGGGTACCTGTCCTGTGCTCAGCACACGTGTAGCAGGGCAGGGAAGCTCTCTGGGGTGGGCATAGCCCTCAGGTCCACAGTGGGCTCCATCTCAGGCAGAGCCCTGCACATCCCACCTGCAGCTGTAAGCCCTGCCTGCTCTCTGCTGCCCTGCACCGTCCGAGACAGGGGCAAGTCACCTCCGGGGGCAGGGTCCCCGTGCTTCCCCTGCCCCAATTCCCCTCCAAGTCCCTGGGAGAGAAGTGGGGGATTTCCATATCCATGGCTCCTGCAACAGGGAAGGAATCTCCATGCACATCCCTCCCGGGCACACGGACTACCCTGGAGCATCACTTCCCTCATCTCCCTCGGGAGCGTTTCCCGTCTGGGTACCCGCTGGAGCAGGGGATCCTCCTGTTGCCGAGTATTCCCCCCGCAGATGGCTCTTCCACGCGTGTCCCACCCCGAGCAAGCGCTGCAGCTCCCATATCATGTTCCACCTCTCCGGCGAGTGTCCCACTCGTGTCCCTCCCCGAACACCGGGATCCCCAGGTGTGCTCCCACCCAGACTTCCCCGGAGCCGAGTTTCCCACGCTGGCTCCCAGCAGGAGCCCCCACCTGGAAGCCCGCCGCAGCCGCGGCCACGGACACCCCTGCGGGCAGGGCGAGAGCGGAGAGGACGCGGCGGCTCATCGGGATGCAGCTCGGGATGCAGCTCGGGATGCAGCGGCGGCAGGGAACCGCGCCGTGCTCGTGAGTCACAGACTTATTTATATTCGGCTCCGCCGCTGCTTTCCGAGAAAGCCCTGGGTGGTACCTGAAGGAGGAACCGATACTGGGGCACAAGGAAGGGAAAGGAGACAGGGAGGGCAAAAGTTGTGGGGACAAGGACAGGAGCAAGGACAGGGATGGGCACAGGGCTGGGGATGAAGACAGGAAGAGGTTGTGGTGGGATGGGAACGGGAACTGGGGTGGGAAGGGGGGCAAGGATGAGGGATGGGGATGTGCACGTGGATGTGCACATGGGGACGGGAACAGGGGCAGGGATGGGGAGGGGAACAAGGGTGGGAGGGATGCGGACGGGGCAGGGATTAGAGGCAGGGGTGGAGATAGGCAGCCGGACTGGAACAGGGATGGACACAGGAATGGGTATGGGCAGAACAGGGATGCAGGAGGGGTTGTGTGGGTCTGCCCACTGACATCACCCAGCCTGGGGGTCTTTAGCTCCATGTCTGCTGGTTGAGGGCTGGGTCTAAGTTTCCATCCTGCCCTGCTGGAGTTCTTGTGTCCCAAAGCACCCTCAGGTCATCGCAGGCGATGGACAGAAGGACAGAGATTCATGAGGACTGGGCAAGGCATGTGTGCAGGGACAGCAGGTGATCTGCAGTGGGTCCAGGGAACTGGGAGGTGAATGAAACAAACTGGCCCCAGCAGCAGTAGGAAAACCTCTGAGTAGGGCATTGAGGCTGGAGGTGAGCAGCCCAGTTTGCATGTACCAGGCAAGAGAAAAAGGAAAATGAAATGTCAATAAAAGAACAGGATCACACCAAGGTCAGGGACAGGATGTGAGATACAGCTGATGAACACAGATTGTGACACAGAGGGGGTGGCGCCCCCAGTGCTGATTTCTCCTAAAGCTCTACAGTTTTACTTTCAGTTTTCTTATTAAGCAAGCACAATCATTCTCTGTCCCACTGGCTGCCTTCTCGGGAGGAACCAGGAGCCAGGGAATTTGCAGTTGTTGAGGTAATGAAATGACAGAAATTAAATTAAATTAAATTAAATCTTGTGTCCTGGGCCAACATGGTTGTCAGTGGCGTTGTGCTTCTCTATGCAGGGCTCCCAGCCTCATCCCACACTCACACTGGGGTCCCAAGGCTTTAACCTCACAGACCACTCAGAGAAGTCTTTGGGTGCTTATGGTGCTGGTGACAGCCACAGTGGGTGTTTGGGGAGGGGAAGCAGGAGAACGATCCCAGCACAACCAGGGCAGTGCCAAGGATCAGTGGGGATGAACTGAGGGCTCTGTGCAGAATGCAGGCATGAGGATGAGGGCACAGAGGTGAGGATGAGGATGCACGGTGACTTTTGACCAGAAGCTGAACCACCAGGCACATCAACCAGTGGTCAGTCAGTACAAGCTTACCCTGCAGAGCCTCAGGTCTGTGTGCTCTGTGTGCAGCCCCAGAACCCAGCAGGGACTGAGGGAAAAGAGCAAAGGCTGAGGGAGGCTGGGGAAGGACAGGCACACTGTGAGAGGAAGAGGAGGGCAGACAGGCACGTACACTTTCTCAGGGCACCGTGTGCTTTCTGCCCCTTCCATCAGTCTCTTGCCCCAGCAGCTCTGCAGCTGCCAGGCAGCATTGTTCCTCACACCCTTTGCACCCCTCCCTGCCCACACAGCTTCTCCCCGTGGCGCTCAGGAGCAGCAGTTAGGAGCTGTGCATCGTGGATTATGTAACTAATGAGCTGGAAACTTCATGAGCTGCTGAAATGATGGATTAGTGAATTGTGGTGTCAGACCGGTGCATAGGGCATCAGCCCTTGTTTGATTTGTTTCCTTTCCTAAGGAGCTGATAAAAAGTTTAATGTTCAGATAACATCCTGTGAACATGAACACCAGAAAGGATCCGTATCCTGTTCCACTCCCAGCTGATCAGGTGGCAGCCAGTCAGTGGGAAGTACATTATGCCCGCATTCATACAACAGGCACACCTGCAGTACCTGGCTGCAGCCACCCGCCCGGCCCTGCAGCTCCCCCTGGAGTCCCAGGCCTCTCTCCCGATCCCCCCAGCATCCTGCCTGGATTTTGGACCGCCCCAACACCCTGGATTTCCCTCTGTGAGGGCTGATACCCAGATGTCCCCCGTATGTGCATGCAGCACTGAGACTCCCAAGCAGAGCAGTGGCTGGAATTGGAGTTTGATGGGAGGATGGGGCAGAGAGGGGTGCAGAGACAGCAGATGAGGCCAGGGGAGAGTGCTGGCTTGCCTGCATGTGGCTTTCACTCCTACCCTCAGCTGTGGGGTGTCCTGCTGCCCCACACTGGGGGCGCTCCCTGGAGCCACCCAGCCCTGTGAATGTCCCAAATGGGTGCACAGGCAAGAAGGCCCCTGCTGAGGCCTGAAACCATGGTCAGGAAGCAGAATTACTGTCCCCAGCCCCATCTATCCCATGCCTTCCAAAACACTTCCCTGTTGTCCCCCTGCCAGCACCTTGCTCTTCCCATGGCCACAGATGGGGAGACACCCACACAGGGCTGCTTGTACGCCAGGGACACGAGGGACACGCTCTCTGCTCTGTGGGGAAAGGTTTATCTGGCTCCATGAGGGAGGGCAGCAAGTGTGGGAACGGGGAGCCCCACCAACAGGCGGCTGGGAGGCACTGGGAAGAAGCAGGGCAAAGTGAGGGTGTGTTCCTTGCTAAGAGCCCAGCTTGGGACTGGGACAGGGGGGAGACCTGGGGATGCAGAAGGACAGCAGGGTGCAGGCAGCACTGGTCCCTATTCCCATCAGTTGATGTGGGTGAAGATGGAAGTGCTGAGTCTGCAGGGAAGCTGTGTCAGCAGGGTGGGAGGGAGGGCCATGGGGTGAGATGGCAGGGACAGAGCCAAACCTTGTGGCTTTCCAGGTGTCCCTGTGTCACAGGATCTCTTCCTGCAGAGCCACGTGCTCTCCAGTGTCTCCTTCCCTTGGTGATCCATGAAGGCCACAGAGGCAGTGCTGGAGTCTGGCGAGGTTTGAGAGAGGCAGAGCAGGGTCAGAGCCTGCACCTCAAGACAGGGAAGCCTGGGCCACCTACTCCTGGCAGACAGACAGACAAACATGCCCTGGACAGAGAGATGGACTTCCCTGCCACACTGGCCAGGTGGACTGCTTCCACATCACTGGACAGAGAGCTGGGCATCAGCCCTGCCGCTGGACAGACAGATGGACACTCCCATCACCTCTTCCATACAGCCCTGAAACCCACCACAGACAAGCTCTCCCACCACCACTTCCCAAGGCAGGAATGTGTGCATGTGGCCAATCTGTGCCCACGGCCAGGGCTCCTCTGGGTGCCACAGGGGATTTGGGCACCAGACGGGGGGGTCCCCACTCCCAGCATGGGCAGAGGGTCAGTGTCACTGCTGTAGCTGAGAGCTGCCACTGCACAGTGAAACCAAAGGTGGGGTGTCTCTTGGCACTGGGATGCTGCTGGACCCCTCACAAGGCTGACACCAGGATCTGCTTGTTGGTGGCTGCCACTGCAGTGTGGCAGGAGCCCAAGAAGGTCCCAGCTCTGTTCATGGCCAAGATGGTCATATTGGAGCCCAGCTCATTTCTCCACTGCCCCTGCAGATCACACTGGGGACTGGGGGTTGTGTGGGTGGCTTGGGCAGTGCTGAGCCACAGTTCCTCCTTCCCACACCAGCAGTGACACGTGTGTCACATGGCATGGCCCCTCTGTGTGACAGCTGAGACCAGCACATGGGCACCAGCTGGGACAGCGCCTCTCCCTCCCTGGGCAGGGCAGGGCAGGGCTGGAGGTACTGGGTACCCCCCTATAGCAGGGACAGGAGACCCACAGTACCCCCAAGCACAGCACAGCCAGAGCTGGCAGCCTCCTTGGTCATGGACACTGCACTGTGGTGTGGCATGGCACAGCCAGACACAGCGGGGGGAGAGAAACACTGAGTGCTGGGGTGTCACAGGACAGCACAGCATGGCATGGGAGAAACATGCAACCCAGTCAGCCCTGCACACTGTGCCCCAAGGGTGGCACAGCATGGCAGAGCAGTCTGTGGCACAGCACAGAGTGGCACAGCCCGGCAGGGCATGGCATGGCACCAGAAAGCACAGCAGGAGCAGGCAGCCCTCTGGTCATTCCCAGTGCACCACAGGGATGGCACATGGATGTGTGCCACATCCATGGATGGCACAGCCAGGGCATGCAGCCCCTCGTCCCCCACCCAGCACCCAGGACAGCACAGTACAGCACAGCACAGCACAGCACAGTACAGCACAGCAGAGCACAGCACAGTACAGCACAGCACAGCACAGCACAGCACAGCACAGCACAGCACGGCTCAGCACGGCTCAGCACGGCCAGACTGCCCCAGGGCTGCTCTCACCTCCCTGGATGCAGCACCACGGGCCATGAGCAGGGCCAGGGCGAGCAGCAGCAGCAGCCCTGGGTGCCCATGGTGCAGGTGGCCATGGGTGGTGCCCTTTTACGGCAGAGGGGGCTGTGGCTGGGCAGCGGCTGCTGAAACCAAAGGGCTCCTGCCAAAGGACACCCGTGGCACATGGGCAGCCGGGCACTGGTCCAAGCTGAACAGGCTCCTGATCCCCTGGGCTGGGGCAGGGGGGCCCCAAGGGCCATGGTGGGGTGGGCAGGCTGCAAAGGAGGGCTCTGTGCCATGGAGGGTCACAGCAGGGGATACACATGAGGCCTCGGGTGTGGGGACAGAAGGGACAGTAAGGCTCCATGGAGGGTGTTGGGAGTGTGTGTGCTGAGCCATGATGGAGTTGTCCAGAAAAATTGCATTTGTTACCTGGTGCATAACAAGGCACACACCCAAGAGAGACATTGATTTTTTGTTTTAGTTCCACAAGCCTGAGTACTCAGTGTTATTCCAAATATCAAGCACACCAACTATCAAAATATTTTGCTATTTACACATCTGGCAAACAAAGGCATTAATGTTCATTGGCAACAAGTTATTTAGTTCTCTTATTAACTACTACT